GTTTTTTGAGACAGGGTCTCACTATGTAGCCCAGGCTGGTCTCAAACTCACAGTGAACCTTCTGCGTCAGCCTTCCGAGTGCTGGATTACAGGTGTGCGCCACCACACCCGGCACTAACAATAATTTTATAATTTTACTGATGAGCCAAAGAACATACTCATATAATATGTAGCTTACAAGCAAAAATAACTGTGACAATTAGGTGTTTCCTGGAAATTTTTTCATTTTACCTATCTGTATAGTACATGATATTTTTACATCTTGTCTCTTTTATACATAATTATACATAAAAGCCAGAAAAGTTGTTTTATGGTCAGACTAAGTATTTTTACTATGTTCCTACTTCACAGGTACACATGACAGGTTCCTAGGGACAAAAAACTACACAATTATTGTACTACCCAAGCTTTTTTAAACTTGTATGTTAGCTAGATGTGGATTTTTTATTCTGCTAGTTGACTTCAAATATCACTTGGTTTTTTGAGGAATGTTTTCACTACTTAAGGAATTATCTCAACATTAAAAATAAAAGATCGAAAGTATGTTATTATACAAACAGAACAAAAGGTCCTACCTGTTTTAACCTCATGAAGAAAGTCTCTGTGAAAGTCTTTCTGCTGAAATACCAAAACCGCTCATTTGCAGGGTACACACGAACTACTGTCTCCAGGAGAAAGCGGACAGGCTCTACCACCTCCGTGACTACCATATCCACTGCCACAGTCATGTACACTCGTTTATCTGTAGTAGAAATTTTCTAGGTTTTATGCTGGTTTATTATTCCTTCGTTATTTAAGAATATAAAATTTTCTCACTTATGAAATTATGGTTCCTTATATTACCTACTATATATTTTAAATTTTTTAATAACACTTTAATTAGGTAATCTAGTAGTCCAAGTATGTTTCTCAAGCACGAGTGATCCTATCTTAATTCTAAATATCCAAAACTCTTGACCACTGTCTTATTCCATATCCTAAATCAGATTCATAAAATTAAAAAAACAAATGAAAACTGGGCTAGGAGTGTGGCTTAGTGGTAGAGCACTTACTATGGGCAAAGCTCTAGATTCACTTCTCAGCACCACAATAAATTAATTAATTCATTTCTTAGCTAAACTCTGGAATTTTTCCTTCCATCTTAAAAAAGAGACAATAAAAATCATTACATTTGTTTAATGAGTTATATGGGGAGTTGTACTGTCAAATCAATAGAGATGAACAGCTTCTCTATGGTAAACTTGTATAGGCAAAATGTTATTGATACAGACAATTTCACATTGTATGCCTTAAGAGAAATCCCTGGAGATTTGTCAGAACCCTTACTGTTCATAACATGCATTTACCCTCGGGAAATTATTAATCAAAGGTCCTGTAAAATACTTAGGTGACGTCTACACACATAAGTGTGTGTGTTTGTGCATGTGTACATATATGTATGCACTTGTATGTACGGTATATATGTGAGGTTTGATGTGGGCTCTGATCCAACAGCAGTACAGCACTATTAGGCTAAATGCTAGTTATTATTTAAAATATTTACTCCACCACAGATTACATTTAACTTGTACCTAGAATCTTCTAGACTAGATTCCACTAGTTTTCTCCAGTTTCCACTATGACAGGTCAAAATATGGATTTCATTTTATTTTATTTATCCGTTTAATATTCAGTGAGGTTTTTGAACCTATGGCCTGGTCATCCCATTTTCCACATTAAATATTTTTGAAATTTACTCTGTCCACAATTTTTAGTTCTTAAAAATCCAAACAAGTAAGCCCACTATTAAAAGAAACATTCATTAGTGTTTTAAGGCACTGTAGAACACTTACACTCATCAACCGCACTTTGATTGATATAACCAAATTCAAAATGTTATTATATCATTCATATATATATATATATATATATATACACACACACATACACATACATACATATACATAAAATACTTGTCAATTCAGGAGAAACTAAGATTGTCTAGTCATTGTGCCTGTCCCAGAGGACTTTAAAATCTGAAGGGAATACTGAAAAGAAGTAAAAGAAAGGAACACAGGACATAAAATATATTACTCAACTAGATCTTAGTGCAGTAGAAAGATCCAAGACATTTCATTTATCAGGACATAAATTTCTTCTATAAAAATCAAATGTTAATTTGATTCATGAATTCTCTGAATGTGTAATTTTAAGGATACCATTTGCAAATTTTAGAAATCAAGGCAGCATATTTATGTAACATATCAAATAATTTTAAATTTAAAACATATAAAAAATAAGACCTGAATCTTATTGCAATATAGCACTACAAACTTATTTTTATCATACAAATAAATTACAAAAAAACTATCTTTTATGTGAGATTAAATATACTAAAACACAAACTGAAACTGAATTATGTGTTACATTAAAAACAGGTAGGGGGCCAGGGATTTGGCTCAGTGATTCCACTGCCTGCCTTGTAACCACAGGGTCCCAAGTTCAATACCAGGTACAGGAAAAAAAAAAAAAAGACAGATAAAGTAGGGGCCAGAGATTTAGCTCAGTGGCACCAAGCCTGCCTCATAAGCACAAGGTTCTGAGTTCAATCCCCACTACTGAAAAAAAAAAAGATAAAATTACTTTTGTAAGTTCATATTTGAAATTTCTATATTTTATTCTACAAAAATTTCAACTTGTCTTATTTTTCTCATCTCTGTATTTTCTTTCTGAATTTTTAGAAAGAAGTTTACAAGCTGTTATTTACAATCCTATCTCCAAAAATAGTTTAAAATTCCTTCACTGTTAAAATATAAAAAGCTAAACTCTATATAATCTTTTTTCTCTTTTTAGCCTTTACTTAAAGACAGCTTATTATGTGAATAAACACATGTAATCTACTCAACTGGTGAACATTCTTTAAGGAAAACAAAATATCATTTTAATATTCTTCATTAACACATTATATTTCTATATTTATATTCACTACTGCTTCCTCTCATTAACCAAAAGTCTCCTGTGGTATAAACTAAATCATATAAAAGTAAAGATAATACAAATTAATCCATCATATTCCAAATATAAATATTTGGTTGGATGACAACAAGCATTTAGGGTGTTTCAATGAGTAGGACTCAGCAAGTAAATCTTAAATTTAGTTTAAATGCAGATGATGAAGGGGTGAAAAATAGGCAATGAGCAGATGCCTGGATAAAGGAGTAACTAACAAAGGTAACAGGAAAAATGAAAAATGTTACTATTTAACATTTACAAATTTCTGTCCAATTAGACATGTGAAAATTAAAAGGTAGGAAACTAGGGGAAAAAAGTGTTTGCTACAAATGAAATCTTTAATATACATTACTCAGATCTCAAAGATCAAAGGACAAGAATGAATAAGTGAAAAATTATTAGTAATCTCTAAATTAAAAAGTTAAATATAATAATCAAAGATATGCAAAATTCTAGCATTTGTTTGCTTTTATCAACTCTATACGGATACATGAAAAAAGAAAGCCCAAATGCCTTTTACATAATCTAATAAAATTAATTCACATGTCTTTTGGAGAAATTCTTTTCAATGGTGGGGGTTCTCCCTGGTAGCACAAAGTATTAAAAGCACTCTCAAATTCTAAATAAGAGTACATTTACTTTAGATAAGCTCTGGATTTTTAAAAAATATAACAAGATAAGACTGTTCATAACATAATTTTTTTAACTAATAAAAGATCTTTTAAGAAAAGTCACCTTTTGGTGTTTCTTCATTAAGTGCCAGAAATATTGGTGCATTAGGGTCCCACATGCCAGTAATAACATAGGCTCTCCCATCATAACTTTTTCCCATGGATTCCTGTAAAAGTTAAAACAACAATTAGTGATCATTTGTGCATCAATAAAATCATCATTTTATATTATAAAGAAACCCTATTTATTAAAATTTGGATTTACAGATTTATTTATAAATCTTTTCATCCTATAAAAGCATTTCTTTAAATATTATAACCCTCTACAGCTTTCTTCAAACACAGTTTATATGTGAGGACATATATCCCTCAGATACACAGAGGCATACACATACATAATGAATCACAAAAACAAAATATTGCTGTGAAGTTATATTTAACTTCACCTTATGCTAGTTGTCAAAATTTCATGCATCTATGCATGAGGATGCACCATAGTATCCATAAAAACTAAAATACAGAATTAACTCAAATACTGAATTAATAGTTAATCATGGAGTAGAAGTGAGTATTTGTCTTTCAATACTCTAATTTTTAACATATTATTAAAATATTCTTTACTTTATAGTAATTAATACCTTCAAAGATTATTTTCCATAGATACTCATACACTTTCTTACAATCATAAATCAATCTTAGGAAACTAATGCTGGTTTGTAATCAATACTCAAGTTTATTGACTCTTTCCCTCTCCCTATCCTTACAGTGACTCTCTTCTTCCTCTTAACTGACTCCATTTTAAGACTTACTTTTTTTTTTCCTAAAGAAGCTAACAACTGCTACAATCAAAACAAAGCCACATATAGTACATATGCAGGGAGAGGAGGATGAAGGGCGCTCCAAGGGAAAACTGAACAAAAGCATATAAATATGTAAATAGCAAAAGGAAAGTATCTACAATACTCTGAATTTTCTAGATTTCTACACAGCATGAATAGAGTGCTAGAAGGACCAGACTAAAACAAAAATGTTTTTTTTCCATTATTACTCCCTTGCAGATGCTTCTCTGAATCCCTATAAAATTGTGCCAGTCACTTGGCAACTACTACACATATTTTCCTAGTGTATTAATAACTCACTAGTCAGACTGTACAGTTCTAGTGCTGATATCTCTGCATTCCAGAGATGAAGTACACTCAAGCCAATGTGTAAGTGAAACTTTCTCAGAACCTCCAACCTACTCATAATCAGTCATGCAGTCCATCTCCCTATCTCTCTCCTCTTTGACACACACACACACACACACACACACACACACACACACACACACACAAATTCCCTTAACCTCCCCTTTCCCTCTGAATCAGGACCCCATTCAGAAAAGGTTTCTCACCAGATTCCAAATTATTTCTGGACTAGAACTTTTGCTGTGCTTAAGTCCAAAAAGGTAAAAGATGGGCTGGGAGGCCGGAAAGGAGGGGATGCAGGTAGAAGCACAGGAGGGTGGGATCAAAGAGAAAGGGCAGAGAAGGGTGGGGTAGTAAGCAGAAGAGAAATAGAGTTCACCACACGTTAGGACTAAAGACTGCTTGGCAGGTTGGATTAAAATATGAAATGCATTTGCAACTATGGGTCAAGCTTCTGTTCTTGTGTCAATAAGCTGTTAATTGTAAAGATCTACAAAACTTACTGGAATCTCTAGGACTTAAATTTGTTTGTTTGTTTTTGTTACCGGGGATTGAACTCGGGTTCTTGTGCTTGCAAGGCAGGCCACCGAACCGCTGAGCTAGATCCCTGGCCCTCTAGCACTTAAATTTTAAACTGTGCTGCAGTTCCAAGAAACCTGGCTCTACTGAGTTTTCTGCTTTTCTTGGTACCTTGCTGTTACACTTCTCCTAGGTATCATCATAGCTATAGATTAAAAAATTCCTGTCCTTATATGGTCAAGTTCCAAAAAAAAATATTGTTTTTACTGGAAGAAAACTGAGTCTCTACTACTACCCCAAGCTAATTTCGGGAATATGTGATTTTATTTATGTCTGTGTGTGCGTGTGTGTGTACACCTGTCTTTTTTCAAAAGACTATCAGAATAAAATGGTAAAAGATATATTTTCAATGTTATGTGACATTTTGGTGTGTCCAAAAAGAGCAGAAGTATTAATTTCTTCCTCTAGAAGGCAGAACTAAGAATAATTAAGCAAAGTTACAAGGAATTTGATTTCAGCAGATTATGAGAAAATAACTATAATTAACCATAACTGTTCCTTAGGTTTCAACATAAGGTAATGAGTTTCTTCTTATGAAATGTAATCTAGCCAAGAATCAATGACTACATATTAAGACATCATAAAGATTAACAACTCTAGCTAGTAATAACTCACAATTATTGATAATTGCAAATGCAAACTTCCTATATGCCCATTTGCTGTGTGGTTTAAGCATACTGCTCTTTCCAGAAGCATGACGGCTGATAAGATCTTTGATTTTGATGTCTCAAAGGTGGAGGATTGCTCTGCTAAGTTAGATGTGACAAAAGGACCTCAGAAAGTCACATCAGTTCTATAATTTTATAATCTGGATTTAGGTTTTATAGACAAATCTCTACAATGATTCATCTTAATATTTTAAGCTCTGAAAGACCATAATTAGGACCAAGGATCATAAAAATTTTTATTGCTTCAACATTTCTAAAACAACACCTCACAGAATTTTCAGGACTCTAAAATGGTATAGCTTACCTTAGGTAAAACCACATTCATTACAGGTATGTTGGAGAGACAGACAGATCAGTAACTAATGTTTTCTTATTCAAGGTAACCACTGTCCTTACTTGACCTATCCAGGCAGAGTTTCCTCTATATTTTCATGGTTCATTGTTTCACCAGAGAGAGCACTGCACCCATTACTGTAGTTACATATTTAAAAGGTACATTTCCATGACAAGACTATGAACCTACACACAGAAAAAGCTAGTTTACTCATATCTATAATCTCAGCACTTCTTGTGATGCTTGACACACAAATAGGTACCCAGATGCCTAAAAGAAAGCACTCTAGTATTATTAGAAGATTAGTGTTGAAATTGCTATGAAATAATTCAAAGAAAAACTTGACATAATTACTGATATTTAACTGACATTCACCAAGCACAGTTGAAAGGAAGAACAGATGTCATGTCTATTATCACTAAATATAAAACTTCCAGTTCACTAAGGAACATTATATTCACTATAAAGTGACTATTTCCTATAAGATTTCTAAATCACAAAGTATGTTTTCATGCATTACAATATTAGAAGGTATATCTAATAATATGCAAAAGTTAAGGTGGCTTGCTACTTGTATATAAAATACTAACTCTTGAATATATATAGAGATATATAGATATATCTCTATATATATCTTTAAAGGTATTCTTTAAATGAATATAATAAATATACTTTGCTTGGAAAAGGTAATCCGGGAGAAGTTCAGAAAGAGAAATAACTGAAAGAAAACCAGAATCATCACAAAACACTCAAATTAATAATGCATTAAAATAAAGCAAAGGTACCATATTCATTTTGGAGATATATGTTATAATCATATTCTTGTTATTTTGGGTTCAAAGAAAAGACATCTTAAGTCAAACAGATGAAGAGATGGACATTGTCATAGTATTATCCTTTTATTTGCTTTCAAATTGCGTGATTGTTTTGGTTGAAAGTTTCCTAACTCCCTCCCTCATAAGTAATTTTAAATCAGATACCAAATTTAATTATTCTTATATGTAGTAAAAAGAAACAAATCTGACAATATGACAAGCTTTTTAAACAGAGTACTTTAAAACTATAAAATAACTACTATCTTTACTTGGTTAAAGTGCTTAAGATTATCATTACCATATCCAGTAAATGCATGTCACTGTTCTTCACGTTTCGACCTGGGCTTAATAACATTCCAAAACATCTGAAAATATTGGGGGGGGAAAAAGGAGAAACAAGGTATCAAGAATATATAGAAGCTCAGAGAGCAAAATGCTTTTGTAACAATTATACAATCTTAACTCTGAATTACAAATACATTTTTTGCTATAGGAAGACCAAAAATAAGAATTCATTAAGATACATAATAAAATCACGTAGAAATCACAGCAATGAATTATAAAAATCCCCAGATTTTTATTTTATATATAAAATATTACCAAGATCAGAAACCACCATGAAAATGGCCATAAATTGTTAACTGAAAAGAAAACATGGTAATGAGATATGATAGTTTCTAGGGAGACAAGGGATTTTATTTGCTTTATAGTTATTCCAAACATATAGGTCACAATCAGGGAATCCAGCTAAATAAAATATGAGGTTATAAAAAATAAGAATAAGACACTGTGGCTCTCTGATATTGTATTAGTGAATATACTATTAATGTACTAATAAGTACTTATTCTATGCTTTCTGTTAGAAAAGCATCAAGAATCCTACCAGTTACCAAAATACTGCAACATTTTTTGATAAGCTTTAAAATTCAGCTAGTCTAAAATTTTTATATTTATTAGGCTATTATTACCTTACTGGTAAGTAAAGCAAAGTCCAGAAAACTTAAATAATTTACTCAGATTTAAGCTGCTATTAAATCAATCTTATATCTCAAGAGACAATATAATCTGTCCTGAGTGTCCCTCTCAATACAACTTAATACTTTGTATTATATTCTCCCAACTTGATGCTTTGTGCATACTCAATAGTGCATACCCAGCTTAATACTTTGTATCATACATAGTCTCCTAACATCTAAGATATGTTGCACAGTGTTTTATAGAATGGGTAAAGGACGACTAAATCAAACATAAGATATTTTTAATTTCAAAAATTGGCAGTTCCACTCTGCCAAAAAGAAGGGTAAAAGAGTCATTTTTAAGAAAATGAATGCACCCTGAGACCAGAAACCCAAAAGTGAAATAAATCAGACACACAAGCTATATGAGAAACCCAAAATATATGTAAAGAGCAAAATAAAAGATAGATAGTAGGAAACAAGATCTTTTCCAAAATGGAAGGGAATCAAGATATATAGGGAGGGAAAGGGGATGAAAGAGAGAAGGTATGTTTTGTGCACATGCCAACTCCTAACAATGAATGTAATCACTACGTACCATAAATATACTAATAAAAGAAAATATTTTTAAAGTTACAGTTGGACAATGCTTCATCTACTCCTTTTTGTTTGCCAAAGGTTTACTTTTCCTAGTAACATGGTCTTCTCTTAAATGAACAAGACAGACAATTGGTCTGATTAAAGTATGAGTTTAATAAAAATACATACACCTCAGTGAGTACATTAGGATGCCTTGTCAAGACTCCCTTTTGGTATTGAAAAATGATCATGCATATATGAAAGATAAAAGTTTAACAGCTCCAAGGATAATTTTCTAAACATGTACCAGTGAATAAAATAGAATCTTCTATAGCATAATTATACCCTACTATTCATTTCACTATAATTACTATATACTGCTAGGATGTCTGTACAAATTATTGCCTTAAATTTTTCTTAAGTAACAATAAAAGATTTAATTCTTTTTCAGGTATAAATTCAGTCTCCTCAAGTAAGACCAATGAGGACAAATTTGGTTATATTCCTATATACTTTCGTCCAACTTGTACTTGTCCTAGGTTTTTGCTTTTGCTTTTAAACAACAATTTTTATATCATAAAACTTTTAAATTACAAAAATATTATGTACTCGTTGTAATAAGTTAACAAATACCAACATGCTATATATTTTGTTGTTGTTGTTGTTGTTGTTTTTGAGACAGGGTCTCACTATGTAGTTGAGACTGACCTGGAACTGGTAGCCCAGGCTGGTCTTGAACTCACAGCAATCCTCCTGCCTCAGCCTCCCGAGTGCTGGGATTACAGGCATGCGCCACCACACCCAGCTACTCTATATTTTTAAAATAATAATTTCATCCATCTATTTCAGCCCCTTTTGGAACCAAAGGCAGTAACAGCTTGAAATTTAGCCTCTCTACCTTTTTTCAGGTCCTTTTGAAAATCTAAACTTTTACACTATTTTGTTTCCCAAGCACTGCCAAGTAAGGGTAAAATGGACCAGATTTTACATTTTCTAAATATAATATTCCCATATTAAATTCTACCACAAAAGGACCCTTAGAAGTTTGAATTTTCCTGAAATGGCAATACTTATCACCTCAGTATGATGATCTTTGATGCACTGCTTTCTTTCTGGCTTGTGAAATATCCTGCCACCAACCTGCACTGTGACTTTAGGGAAAGCACCTAGCACCCTGGGGCCTCTGCTTCCTCTTCTGGAAGACAGAAGAGGTATAATATATGAACTTTAGTGCTCTGAGCACTAAAATTACATAATTTTTTTATCAAGCTATATTAGTCATTTCCAAAATTATACCTCATTAAAGCACATCAGTCTTCCAATAAGACCAGCAAGAACTATTAAGAATAATGTGTCAGGAATTAAATATTATTAGTAACACAAACATCTAATATGAATATTAAATGGTTCACTGGAGAATTCAAAGCATTTGACCTTTTCTTATTAACTCCACCAATTTTCTAAGTCCAGAGTTGAATTTGGAAGAAAGTAACTAAAGAGACGATAACAATCTAATATGGCAAGTTCCAAGATACCTGTAAATACTGAATGCTAAAGCAGAGAGGAGACACACTTGATATTTATAATACAGAAACTGCTGACCTAACCCAAAATTTGAAATCAACCCTGAAAATAAGATGGTATTATCACATTAGCAATAATAACTGCATTGTATAATCAGGCATTGTTTATTGAATGTTTTAAGATGATACTACCATATAATTTTATTTATATTTCAAAACAACCCTCACACAACAAATAATAAAACTTATTTTCAAGAAGTAGAAGTGATTGGCCAAAAACACATGCCTATTAAGTTATAGGACTAGAATTTGAGCCCATTCCTATCACTACAAAACAACAGTCTTCAAATCAGCCTGAGATTCAGAATCCAAACAATGGAGAAAAAAAAAAAAAAAACTTTTAAGGGAAAAAAGGGAGAGAAGTAGATCCCTAGGCACCAGAAAAGATCTGACAGGAATATGAAAACCCAAACTGAAAAAATGGAACACAACTCAGAAAAGGAGAAGGGCACAGTACTTTAATCCCTGGCTCCCAGCTCTTAGCTCCTGAGAAAGTCAGACAGAATCCACACAAAGTAAAAGCAGGGGACCCCAGAGGTGGGCAGGGAAAAACACAGCAGTGAACTGGCCCAGTAAATGCTGTGGGCTCCAACAACTGGGGAGAGGCTCCAACCCTAGCGGCTGCCATACTCCCTGGAGAGTGCTTGGTTAGACACCAATCCAGAGAGGGGCTGTTTGAACCCAAGACTCAGACAATCACAGAATGGCTTCAGTCCAGGGCTGCCAGGGTTACATTCCCAGACTGACCAGGTGAGAGATGAGAACAGGTGACAAGAGGTCAGGGGGAGCTGCAGTGAGAGTGACAAGAGACTGATGAGGGGTTTAAGCTGAAGGGTGAGAACACCTCATCCCCAAGTCTAGAGCCCGGATACAGCCTAAACTGCTCTACATTTGAAAGTTGCAGAACTGGCAACCTACCCCTAATCCTAATGCCTGTGGGTACCTGCATCTAGGACAGACAGATCTGGACTTTGATGGCTTTCTTTATCCACCACCTCGGGCAGAGACAGGTATTGACATAGACACTGCCACAAAATTGTAGGTCGCAGGAGAAAATCACACGTATAAAATCACAAGACAATTTTCTTTTTGTTGTTTTCGGTTTTAGTTTTAGTTATCTTTTTTTCTGCTCTTTATTTCTTTTGTGTGTGTGTGTGTGTGCGCGCGCGCACTGCTTTTAGTTTTTTTTTGTTTGTTTTGGATTCTTTTTCTCTTCATCCTTAACTTGCTTTCTTCATCAGTTTACTGGGGCTTGGAGAATTTCCTTTGTCCTTTTTCCTTGTGTCTTTTTATTACTTCTTTTTTTTTTGGTACCAGGGATTGAAATCAGGTTCTTGCACCTGCAAGGCAGGCCACCAAACCACTGAGCTAAATCCCCAGCCCCTATTACTTCTTTTTAAATCTTTTTATTTTTTCCTTTTCTCCTTTTAAATTTTTCTGTTCAATCTTTTCTCTCTTACTTTTAGTCTATGATTTCTTTTTTTCTCCTTTATCTTTTAATTCTGGTCCGTTTTTTTCCCCTCACCTTGCCTAATTCTATAAACATCTTTCTACTTCCCCAATAAGATTTTTTTTTTTTTTTTTTTTTTTAGGTTGGGGGAGACCAGGGATCAAACTCAGGACCTTGCCACTTGCAAAGCAGGCACAGTGCCACTGAGCTAAATCGTCAGCTCCTCAATAAGATATCTTACACCATTTCTCTCTCTTCCTTCTCATATAATGAGTTTCAGGTTTCAAAATCTTCCTCTTGTGTTTCCTCTAGGCCCAAACCCTGTATCATTAATAGTATCTCCACAAACTTTTGATTTTTTTTTTTTTTTTTTTTTTTTTGGTACCAGGGATTGAACTCAGGACCTTGCACTTGCAAGGCAGGCAGCGGAACCACTGAGCTAAATCCCCAGCCTTCCTTTGATCTTTTAATAGTTGCTTAACTATATAAAATCATGATTGAATGCTTTTCTACCCTTAGTAAAGATAAAACTGTTGTATATATTGCTGTAACTCAATACCTTCATTATCTTAATGTTTACACCATAATTGCAGATTTCTTCTCTAGGATTAAGGGTGGCACATAATTTGTTATTGTGGTACGTTAATATCCAATTTGTCTTTAATGATAATGCTATAGCTGATTTTCTTGATATTAACAGGTTAAATCACTGTTGCTTTTTCTGTAAACCAACACTCAGATTGAATGTGTAACAATGACAATACTACATTCCCAGGGAACTTCATAGTTAGGCTAAC